CGCTCTGGTCTCCAGATGCCCAGGGCCACATGTCTCTGGACAGCAGGCATTTCAAAGGCAAGTGGAGCGGCTCACAGGCCGAGGGACCTCCCTGAAGGGGCTCTCTTCTGATTCCTCAGGGCTGGTGCGAACACCCACCAGTCGTAACTCAGAGCTGGCTCAGAGGCAGCTGCGGTCTGGTTTCAAGGACCTAAAGCAACGACTTTCTGTGCCCACCCAGTGGCTTGGTTACAAACGGATCCCTAGAAACTTAGATTGGGGTGGGGGACGGGCGCACATTGTGGGATTTTAAAAAGGTCTTCATTTTTAAAAGCCGGGAGAAAACATCATTTTGATTTCTTTTGCATAACTGAAAACAAAACCCAGAAGTCCTCACAGCGGGGAAAACAGACTTCTTTAACCTAGAACTAGGAGCCCTGGTGCTGCTGCGATCCGCATGGTCGGCAGTTCAAAACTACCGTGCTCCGCGGGAGGGAGGCCGGGCTTTCTTTTCCTTTTTCATCTCTAAAATGAACACGTTTGAACAGTTTTATTGGCCCTTCGTCCACCTGTCACAGACGGCTTCCTGCTCCTGTAAGCAGTCACGGCCTTGGAACCCCACAGCCGTCCTGGGAGTCAGCGTTGCCCCGGTGGCGGGGACTGAGAGTGAGGGACCCAGCACCACTGTGCTTCCTCAGGGGCACACAAAGGCCTTCCTCTGAGCTGACAAGGAAACTCGCTAAATAAAGGGCTAAAAGCCCACCCAATGGCCAAGAGCCCCTGTGTGTCCCAGCAGAACTGTGACCCGCAGGTTTTCAGGCAGTCAGGTGTAACTAGGCCCTCTCTAGACATTGACTTGCTTGCTTCCTTATTTCCTTTTACATTTCTTTTTATGTGTGATTACTTTCCATAGTCCATGCAAATACATACTTGCATAATATGTTGTCAGAAAATAAAAAACTCACTGCCATCCAAACAAACTCGATGCCACCTGACTCAGCAACCCTGCAGGGCAGGAGAGAGCTGTCCCCGTGGGTTTCCGAGACTGTAACTCTCTACAGAAGTAGAAAGCCTTGTCTTCCTCCCATGGAGTGGCTGGTGGTTTCAAACTGCTGACCTTGCAGTTAGCAGCCCAACATGTAACCACTACGCCACCAGGACTCCCTATAAGATGATAGATAGATAGATAGATAGATAGATAGATAGATAGATAGATAGATAGATAGATAGATAGATAGATAGATGATAAATAGATATAGAAAAATCTGCAATGTCATCTTTGGGTCTAGGTTTAAGAGAATTGCTAGAACCATGGAACAATAATGTTGTTGTTTTCTAGAAAAAGGTATCAACTGATAACTTGCCTATTATTTTCCCCATAAACTATAAATGACATTACAGAGGCAATCTTTGTCTCTTCCTCTGATTTGTTCTCCAGAATGAGAAAACAGAGCCAGAATGGTGTTTAGCTCTCTCATGTAAAAGCTGAAGGAGTCAAACTGCAGAGAAATTGTGATGAAACTGGTGTCCCTGTGGGTGGGGTACTCGTGCCCCGGGCAGAGCTCTGTTGTCACTGCCTAGTGCCCTCTCTGGGGACACTGGCCAGATGGTGACGCTGGAGGCCAAATGAAGCAGAGATGCTCTTACCTGCAGCAGGGGGACCAAGAGGTCCTGGGGGGCCTGGAGGACCAGGTGAACCAGAAGGCCCAGGCTTGCCTGGAGGGCCCATAACTCCA